CATTTCCATATAATACACAGTACAATTTCTAAATCATTTTGCACAATGCTTTCTTGCAAACAGGGCTGCTAAATAACTTATAGCCAGCTGGCACGAAAAACCTGTTGACTTTGTAATAGAAGTATTAGAAAACAAACACCTGGTGCTTCACATGTCTGAGCAGATACCATAAACCAACAATGAAAGCTTAGAGGCCTACAGTGAAGAGCATAGACATAGACCCGACAGTGTAATGTCTTTTATGACCATAAAGTGTGTGCAGTAGATGAAAGAAAGTTAACAGTAATGTAATTAAATGATATTGCACATTGTACATTGCCCTTGCAGTCATAAATATCAGTCCTTTAGTTTATGCTATGCTGTATAAAACAGCTGTGAACAAAGAGCTAGTGTGGGAGTTTATTCAGTTTGAGCTCCGGATGTTTAGTGGCATTATATAGGACAACTCTTCAGCACAGTGGTGAAGGTAATTTCACCATTGGATGTTGATTCTGACATTGCTATGTGTGCTTAATGGTGTTTGTCAATGTGTGAAAATGGTTCAGCTGCACCTTTCATGCGTTGTAGGGGAAACTAGCTTCAGAGCTGTTGCACAGTGCGACCAGAATGACACCACAACTTAACTGCAGAATCATGTGGTTAGGCTGCTATTAAAGCAGGAGACTATTTTGATAGAGATGCTCTAAATGGCAATGCTACCGCCAAGGATTCTATTTTCAATCAATGTTTCTAATATGTTTTGATATAAATATATCACAAAAGGTGTTTACTGCATTACAAGTTGATGCTGATGGTTTTGGAAATTTTGGAAATAGTAACTGAAACTTTGATTGTTGTTTACTCTAATGCAGACAGTGTTGCACAGTCATGTATGTGTCTTAAGTGCAAAGGTGCAGTCAACTTGAAAAACGGTGCATATTTCAATGCATGAGAAAAAAATCCCTAAAGTTGCCTGAAGCAACAGATGAAAAAAAAAAACTTTACTCTTGAAAGACTTTTTTTCCTTTTTAGCTTTTAGTGTCATTAGACAGTCATAAGTACAGAGCCATGAAATGAACTGTCTGCATTTAACCCATCCCCTTTGGGAGTAGTGGGCTGCCCATGTGTGGCGCCAGGGGAGCAGTGTGGGGTGGAGGGTTTTTGGTAGTCTGTGGGAGTAGGACTCGAACTCAGAACCTCAGGATTCCAAGCTCTATGCTCTAACCATTTGCAAAGAGAAGACAATAGGTATTTTATATTCAGCAGCCTTTATGCTGTAAGTGAACATCAATCATTATTTCTCCCTTTGTCCACTAGAGGGAGTTATCTTTCTTACAAGGTAATTAGTACAGTGATGTTATAAAGATGACAGACAGACAGACAGACAGACAGACAGACAGACAGACAGACAGACAGACAGACAGACAGACAGACAGACAGACAGACAGACAGACAGACAGACAGATAGATAGATAGATAGATAGATAGATAGATAGATAGATAGATAGATAGATAGATAGATAGAATTTTGATGTGTGTTTTTTTTCAGTGGATTTTATCATTTTAAAAATATATGATTTATCCATTTGAAGAAAAAAAATACATTTTGAGTTTAATGTTCCCGTGTTTTAATTTCTGACTGCGTTGATATTCCCATGCCTGTAAGTAACTTAAATGTGTCAGTCAGTTTAGTCCACGGTGACTCATATGCAACATGAGATTGCAATGCTTCATCATCAATTTAAACCCCATGATAAACCAGAGTGACGTATTTTTAGTGTACCACCAGAGTCATGTGAATGTTTGTGGTAAAGTGATTTTGGTCATAAACCCTTAAAGACCAGTCTGATTATAGAGATCATTTTCTTGTTGTCACAAACGATCAGATTTCACTCATTCATTCAGAAAACATGTCCCAGATTACAGGTATATTGGTTGTGAATAGGAGTAATTTATTTTTAAAAATTATATTGATTTCAAAATCATTGTGATGTGACCCCTGAGGCATAGGGTGGGCCAAAGTATTAAAGAAAAGTACAATGAATTAAGTAGATGTAACATTTGTTTATTTTTCAATACATAATTTGGTTTTCAAATATACCATCCATCCATCCATCCATCCATCCATCCATCCATCCATCCATCCATGTTCTTCCACTTATTCTGATAGGGTCACAATGGGACCGGCAGTCTATGGGAAAAAAGGGGAGGGTCACCTTGGACAGGCCACCAGTCTGTCGCAGGGCATCAAGAATACCAATAATTTTTAAAATACACATAAAATACGTAAGCCACATAATGAAGTAAACTATTTAAGCTGCATTTATTTTTTTGGCAGAACTGTGAAGATATTGTTGCACTAATCAATTCAACTAAAGATAAAAGTATGAATGATTTTCTCTAGATCTTGTTGTGACATTAATTAGTGCTTTATTTCTGAAAAAGTGTTCCTCAGGTGGTAGAAAGCCAACTTTATAACTGTTTTATGTCTCTCTTAAGGTTCAGATCTAAATCTTTTACCCCACCCAGATTTCAGACCTGTTCACAGGTTTCTAAATGTAGTAGCTGAAACTGCGTGCTGACTCTTGAATGTTACTCTTGAGGTCCAAAAATAATAAATTCAGCTTTGTAGGTGGAGAAAGTTTTGGCTTGTCTATGCAGTGATTTCTTTAGGCACCTAGTCAGTGCTTGGATAGGTTAGAAGTCATCTGGTGAAAACGTGATATGAAACTCTGCATCATATGCATAGTTATTATAGCAAATTTTATTAGTCATTATAATCTTGGGTAATGGGAGAATATAGAAATTAAATAAAAGGTGTTCCAGGAATGATCCTTGGGGTACCCCGCATGTGACTCATGTCCACTCTGAAAATAAGTGTTATATATGACAAGATCCTGTTCTTTAGGTGGGATGTGAATCAGTTCTCCAGTTACTTTAGTAGTGAATCATGGTCAACAATGTCAAATGTTGCAGTGAGGTTCAACACAACTAGCACTGTTGTTATTTCACAGTCAGTGTCAGTGCTCTGGTGAGCAGGGAAGCCAGACTAAAAGATCTCAAAGCGGTTTGTGATGACATGGCTCTCTGCCAATGGAAACCTCAAATTCAGTTTTACAGAAAAATCTGAATATTGCTCAACACTTGGTCAGGGCTCCGTTTGCATGGTTTATTGCATCAGTTTAACAAGACATGGAGGAAATCACCCTGTGGTACTGCTGAGGTATTAGGGAAGTCAATTGTTGGATTTGGTGACAAAAATCTTCCTCCCAATGTCTTACTCAACTTTTCTACCATGTGCGTATGATTAGATAGAACGCTATGAACATTTAGATTCTTTAGCAAGTTGTTTTGTGATATCTCTCCTTGGAGAGTGTGTCAATGACAATCTGCCGGAAAGCTAGAAAGACAAGGAGGCAGCCTTCTCATTTTTATATACATTTTTATCTTGACCCCTACTTATTAGTTAGGTAAAAATTTATATATGTATCACTATAAAACAATAAAGACTTTAGCCTATAAGTAAACCCTATAGTTTACTTAGATTCAAATGTAGGCACAGTTGTCTTGGCCTGTTCAGATCAGAAGTGATAGCTGCGGTGTGTTGACGTCCCTATATTGCGCTCAATGGTATCACTTAAATTAGCAGGTTGACCCTCTGATATTCCCACTGTATGCTGATTGGAGGCGAGCGGTTTGAAGGCCATTTTAACCTGGGTCGCTTGTCGGGTCGTTTGACACAGGTGAACACGGGTCAGCGAGCCATTCCCACGGCCACTAAAAGCTGATTGTTCCTGGGTTTAAACTTTTTTTTTTCGGCCATTGGAAAATGGTTATAAGTCTGCTCAACAAACAATGTTTTAGTCAGGAAGGGTCATTACAGAATTACAGATCCACAGATCTAAAAAAATTGTCTCTTCCAAACTGTCAGCAGTGTGGCAGGTCAGAGTCACAGTGAGCTATTTTTAATGTTAGTTATCCTTGCTTCTTGCATGAACACATACCACTTTTTTAATCAGCTACTATTTTTCCTATGCTCTTTTTAATGTCACACTATCAGATCAATAGAGCCCACCTCCAGCAAAACAGCGGCACCAACCCTCTCAACAGAAGCTGTTCGATCTACCCATGAGGTAAAAAACAGACTCATTTTGCCTTGTACTGATCTCTAACAAACATTTGAGTATGTGTGTCATGGTGTTTTGTGATTGGGTTGGTAAAATTCAACCGGTTGTACAGCAAGGTATTTTTCTGTATGGTGTTTTAAATCTGCTCTTCATGTGCCCCCTTTTAACTTTGAGCGCTTGCTCAAAGTTAAAATGAACATACATGAACAATATGAACATTAATAATTACAAGCATATACAACAACAAAGGGCTTTACAGAACAGACTTATTATTTTAAAATGTCAAAATCAAATCTAATCTATGCTCGAGGGTTATAATAATTCTTTAAAGGCAGTTAGAATTTGCATAGCTTTGGCATTTGAACTAAATTTTAAGGCTTCTATATAGATATTAATAGAAGATAATACAATCTGGAAATTAGGTTTTTGTTGTAAATATTTGGAGGTGTGAATATATTTACCATAAATAATAAAAAAATGTATTACATATAAAAATTCTGTTTTGACAAGTTCACATTTCTCCACCACAAATAAACATCCTCAGCTGTTAAAGTAATTTTAAGATTTTTTTTAATGAAAAAAAATTGACATATCTCTCCAGAATATTTTGGTATTATTACAATCCCCAAAAAGATGAATAAGCTTTTCTTCATTATTTCTACGAAAAGTACACATTGGGACCATATCCCATTTATATCTTTTTTTTTTTTATATCAAAAATGCTTTGACAGGATAAACATTCTGAATAATTTTATGAGAAATTTCTCTTACTTTGTTGTTTATTAAGTTTTTTTTAAGGAATTCAAGCTCAACAAAATCAAAGGTTAAAAATGACGCCACAAGACCGGAGCTTTTGATTGGCTGACCGAACGGCGCTAAGCGGAAGACGCGTGCAAAGACGTTACAGGAGGAGGGGCTTAAGAATATCATCATGGCGGGATGCATGAAAATTATAAGCGGGTGGTTCTCAACAAGTTCAAATTTACTGTTTTTTACGGTGCTATTCGTGTGCTTACCTCAGACATCGCACCAAAAAGCGGGTAAGAAGCTGTGTTACGGTGCAAGTAGGAATAACTTCGGCGATATTTAACATATTAAACAAGCTACGGCTAATACATGTTAGCCAGTGTCTGTATCCATTTTAAAGTTGAGTAGACTTTGTTGGTGTATCAGGGCTTTTCATGGACACACCTATGTTTTTGAAGATTGTTTAGCTTCACTAAACAGTAATGCGAGTTTCGGTTTTGTTCAGGTTTTGTAATGTTAGCTCGTCGCTACCATACGAGGATCATTTGGGATATTTGCATCCTGTCGATTTTATTATAGGTATTGCTTTTTGTCCTCGCTTTGACATCCGAGAACACGCCCAGATTGTTTTTATGCAGGTCCAGACTAATCCGAGGTGTTTTGCATACAGGGAAGCTAATAAATGATGGGTCAAAATGTCTTAACTGGTTGAAGAATAATTAGTATCTGTGTGGGGCTTGGCGAAATGGCCTTAAAAACTAATCTTAAAATGTCCCCGTCAAAACCAACTTTTCTTTATTTTTTTTTTTCTTTTCTTTCTCTCTTAATTTTCATAAAAAAAATAAAAAAAACATGACAAATGATGTACATTACTTTCAAAAGCTACCTGTCAGTCATTTCCTCTTGGAGGTGAGCTTAATTGAAAGGATAAAGCAATTAAGGTTATAAAACATGCTTATTTCACAGCAAACATACTGTAACACTCTAAATGTCTTCATACTGAGTTAGTTAATCAGGTATTAGCACGTATCTAATATCAAGTGATGAACTGGTGACACTTTGGAAATCCAAGGTTTAGAACTCTGATAAGAAAAAAAAATCCAGTTTCCTAAAGATTACCTGATCTTTATTTTTATTGATTTATCACCCACCTATATTCCAATATTAATCTCCATGTTTTTATCTTTACTTGCTTTTATTGTGATTTTATTTTTCTTCTTTTTTACTCTTTAGTCTGTGCAAAACACTTAGAATTGTCTTTAGAAATAATATTAATAATCTTTCTATGCCTTAATATTTTTAGGGATGTTCTGATCCAATATAATTTTTTGAAATTAGTTTGATATCATCAAAAAATTAATATTGAATATAACAACCTGCTTTTAAAATCTCTTATGGAAAGCTTATAAAAGCACTTTGTTCCTGTCCACTTTTGTTTAAAGTTTATGTAACTCTTTGGTGAATAAGAAAAGGGTCAGTTGTTGTCATATGGAAGGCTGGTAATTATTGTTCAAAGTTTAAGAAATATCCCTTAATCAAGCTTTTTCTATAATTCTGCACTGTAAAATAACTAATAAATATATGAATTATTCGTGTTAACATCGTATCGGTCAATAGCAATATCGGCCATTCTCAAAGCTGTAATATCTGTGTCGTCTTGGAGTGGAAAAGGTTGTGTTGAAACATCCCTTATTGATTTTTCTTTTTTTACCCAACTTAGCTCTATTCTAATTATTTTGGATTGTCTCTGAAAACTAGTAACATGAGGCTATGTCATTTAACATAATGGTGTGCTACAGGTCATTTTGGTTGTACTTTGTGTCAAAGGGCTTTGGTGCAACCTCTTCAGGATGTGAGGTGGTTAACATTAGATTTCTTCTCTTTTGTATCTATGCTTCCAACATTCTGAGACCTTTATCAGTTTGGTTAATGTCATTTGTATGCAGCATAAGCACCTAATTCTCTTTAGATTCAAGTGAGTAAATATTCCATAAGCACTTTAAATGCTGTTTAACTGTTGGATTAGGGGTGCATAGTATATCAGCTTTAATATCTGTATCAGCTAATTTTGGACATTTTTAGGCATATAGGCATCTGTCCAATAGATAAAACTGGGCTGTGTAGTTTTTTTTTTTTTTTTTTCTTGTTTCAGGAGGTGGATGGGAGGGGATCGGACATATTGTATTTGTTTGGTCATGTGAAAGTGATTGTTGTGGAGCTCAGGAGTGTGCACGGATTGCAGTTTTCTGACAATTACGATAAAAAAAAAAAAAAAAAAAAAAAAAAAAAAGCCAGACCCACTGATTCCAATTTTTATTTTTTTATTTTTAAAACCAATACCAATAAAATGTTTTATTGGTCAAGTGTTAAAAATTAAGATTTTTTAGAACTGAAATTTTCAGGTGTTTCAAGGTAACATCTGTTTCCTGAAACCTTGGTCTTTGATGACTGAAAATGGCCGGTTGTCCAATGCCATAATTTTACATTTCTCACTGCTCATACGGGTTAACGTCGGGCCACTGGCTGGCTCTTTGCCTTCCCAAAGCTTTAGCTTTTGTCAATCTATTTTGGCCTTACGTGGGTTGCAGATTGCCCCTTTATCTTGAACTGTAAAATACTTTCAAACCGACAACACATTTCCCTTTACAATTTACATGATTAAAATTACACAGTGACAAATGTTACGCAAATAATTCAAACAAAATAACTTTTTACTGAATAAAAATAAAAATAAAACATCCACAACTGATAAAAAATGGAGGGAGCGGCAATGCATGTGAATCATGTGATGTCGATGCAGGAGAAGAAAAAATCCCCACAAATATCAGCTGTGTGTACCATTATTATCACTGTCTTAAACTTTCTTACACCTTAAAGACCTTAACATGATGTTCTAGGTCTTGACTTCCTAAAGTAGTAAAGTCCTTCAATTTGTTTTCTTCACCAACTTTACCTTTTATTGTAAACATGTCCAAAGTAAAATTCTTTGATCCAGTCACACATGTGTTTGCTTGTTCAATCAGGTAACACACCTTCAATAATTGATCTGAATGATGGCGAACAGCTCGTCATGATGGGACCCAACCTGTTCTGTTACAAAAATCCAGTTGTTCCAACCTGGAGGCAAACATGGACAAGAATTCAGGTAAGTTCCACTAATTAGACTAAACGGGTTAGAAAATTAGTCTAGGCCAGGGGTGGGCAATTCCAGTTCCTGGGGGGTAGTATCTTGCAACATTTAGGCTACGTTCACACTGCAGGCCTTGATGTTCAATATCCTTATTTTTTTTTTTTTTTGTGAAATCCGATTTTTTTTTTTTTTTTGCGTTGCCGTTCACAATTCCAAATTTATGTGACTTGTATGTGATCTCCTGTGTGAACTGCATTCATAAAACGCAAGTGTTCCGCTTGCGCAGTAGAGGACGCAATGATGTTACAGGCCAGCGTGCTCTGTGTTTACGGGAGTAAAAAATGGATGGTAGTGCCGGAGCGCATCTGGCGATCTTTCCCAACCATAAAAAAACACTCTTTTCAAGATGGTTAAAGATAAACTTCTCCCCGCATCATCGTCTGCCATGGTTGTTGTTTCTCTTGTCGCTTATTGATAGTAAGACCCAGAATATTGACTTTTGTCGGGTATTAATGGCGTTCAGGTTGGATGAATGCGACCTGACCGTTCAGACGCAGGTCGCATTTGAAAAGATCAGATTCGTATCGGATTCCACATAGCCAAGTGGCCTGGGTCAGATTGGAAAAAATTGGATCTTTGTTGTTCAGACAGCCATGAAAAAATCTGATACAGGTCACATATGGGCCGAAAAATCGGGATTTGGGTCACTTCAGGCTGCAGTGTGAACGTAGCCTTAGATTCATCCTTTTACCAGCACACCTGAATCAAATGGTTGAGTTACCGTCTCAGTATGCAGTCAGTTCTTCCAGAGTCCTCTCAATCATTAAATGACTTGATTCAGGTGTGCTCAACCAAATGCACATCTTAAAGTTGCAGGATACCGGCCCTCAGGAACTGGCATTGCCCACCACTGGTCTAGGCTATAGAACATGTTTCTCTTTGTCTCACATCAACTGGGATTGTAACTTTAGAATTTATAAATTCATTTGGTACCACCATTTAGAGGCTGATATGACCAAATGAAGAAATGCTGTAAGCTGAATCTAAGCTCCTAATGCGTTCACTGTAACTGGGTCCTGACAGATTGGTCCAGCTTGTCTGATGGCCTACATGCATCTGACCTTTCTTCTACTACTGCAAAAGTCTGTAGCTCCCACTTTTATAAATGTTAGTGCTACAGGTTAATAACGTAATTCCTCCAGATTCCAGTGTGCAGGTTTGTTTTCTCTTAAAGGAGAAAGCCCAATGTATCCAATACAGGGGACATGGTGGCTGTGCTTTAGCGATCTGATCCAACCATAGTTTTTCCAGGTATAATTTTGTTGTAACTGAGTAAATCTGTTTGGGTTCGATTAAATTTTGGTTCTAAAGGTGTTAAGGAAAGAGGAGCGATCATGTAAAGCACATCTGTACTTCAACAGAAACCATGAAGTACAGTTTTGGTGTATTGTAAGCTTTTTGGAAAATAAAGGCTCTTGCTGGATTAGTTTCTACTGTGATTTGTAGCTCGAAATTAAAGATTCAGATTTTCGCCTTGATTTAGTTGACAGGTACAATGTATATTTAAAAAAACTTGCTGTAAATGCAACTTAATCAGCCGATTGCTATCTTTCTTCTGTTGTCTCTGGATTAAACAGATGGGGGATTAAAGGTGTTATTGTGGTTAAAGGAAACCAAAAGTAGATTGTTTGGTATTAAGTCTGTTGGCTAAACATAGTATCTGGGAAATTTCTTCCCCTTTGTTGGTGATTGTTTAATCACCAAAGTCTCAAAAACCTGATCAAAAAATATTTATTAGAGTAGCTAAAATTAAGAGTTCTCAAAATTAAAATTAATTAATCTGCTGATTTTCCTTATCTTGATCCATAGTTTTTATTTTTTATTTAAATCCTAATTGTTCATAAAAGATTTTCAAAGTCCTACTTTGTGGTTGTTTATTCTTTTAGATAACTTCTGGATATTAAGAACTTTTAATTGATTGTTGGTTTTATAAACTTTAAGTGTATAACAAAGTTAATGTTTCTGACAGGTGAAGGTGTGGAGTTCAAAAGTATTTAAGGTGGAAACTGTGGAAGGTGAAGAGGAGCTGCAGGAGCTGGAACACTTCAGTGTAAAGAGCTGGTTTCAAAGTTTTCTACGAGAGCAGCACAATGAAACCTTCATTAACATCAACCTGTTCAGTAAGCTGACCTGCTTCAAGGTGGATCCTACTGCAGGAGCTCAGTACACCGTTAAATCCATCCGCAGTAAGTGGGGAAACCAATGTAGTGTGTTTCCTTACTGGTTAAGGGCAAATGAAGCATCCTTGGATGCACAATTTACACCTTCCAAGAGTCTGAAAATGCTCATACAATCGAGGGAAGATAGATTAAGATTAAAGAAAAAGATGGACATATTTAGATTTTCCAAATCCACTGTGATAAAAATGGACAAAGCCCCAATCCTGATTAGATTTAGAGAGTGTAGTTTATCTTCTGTAGGTTACTGCTATATCTCTGTTCTTGTTCCTTGTGGTTCTACCTTCAGATGTCTTGAGTTAATAAATCCACAGGGAATCCCGCAGTAAATTGATCTGATAAAAGCGTATTCTGAAACTCTCAGCTGAACTGGATTTCTGATGTTTTGAACCATCTCCCAATGACACGAGGGCAAGCCTGAAATCTTAATCAAGCACACTTTCTAAGCAAGAAGGATCTGAGGGCAATTTATGTAAATTAATAAACAACAGTTTGGAGGTTCCTAAAAACATCACTATAATGGCAAATTGCTATAGTGTTTGTTGGAAAGACACTGACATTATTTCTAAAGTAAGGTTTTATTGAGACTATACAACAAATATTATTTGTTAGATAGGTGAACAAAAGAGCAGAGTAACTTTGGAATAGAAAAGTTCCAACATAAGGTTTTGGTTTATGTTATACAGATAATTAAAGCTGAAACAATCAGTGTGATCAATTGTGAATCCCCAAATACTTTTGAAGATCACATAGTATACAGACTCTAAAACTTGCATATTTGCTTAAAAGAACAACACACTCAGATCTGAAACTCCTCTTGTGGCACAATTTTAGTTTTAAATGTGTTTAAAATATACTAAGCAACTATTGCCATGGTATTTATAATTGATTTGTGTAAAAAAAAAAAAAACAACTCTATTATCAATTGCATCCCAAGTTGCAGCCCTACAGATGAAATATACATTTTCTTTTTCTTGCAGAGTTTGATATCTACCTGTTTTTGGTCTTCCTCTCCGGGGTGTTGCTGTTTGTTTTTGCAGACTCCCTGAGCAGGTATTTATCTGTGCTAAATCATTGCTGCATTTTAAGTTTCAACAGGAATTATTTAACATTTTCTTCTTTATAAATTCTTTACTGAAGGAGTCAGCTTTTCTTCTACTCTGCTGGAATGAGCACAGGCATGCTCGCTTCTCTCCTCATCCTCTTTTACATTCTGTCCCGCTTTTTGCCAAAGGTAAGTTGTTTTATTCCTGTGACATTTTTATTGTCATAAAGTCTCAAGGATTTAATGCTTGCTTGATTTTTGCACCTGTTGTTTTCCGCAGAAAAGCCCCTTTTACATGCTTATTGTGGGCGGGTGGTCATTCTCTCTCTATGCCATCCAACTTGTCTGCAAGAACCTTGGTGTGATTCTGCGAGAGCACTGGCCCGCTGCATTAGGTACAGACCTATCATCAACACACTTAAAGCAGAAAACAAACCTGCAGCAGCATTTTGAGTAACTTATGCAGAGAGCCTTGGCAAAGCATCCATAAGCCCTGAAGCTTTTTCACATTTAGAAATGTTGCAACAATTTTTATGTGATAGATCAGCACACAGAGTAGTGCACAATAGTGAACTGGAAAAAACTTTTTCTATTAGTAAAGTGAAGAAACCTTATCTTTAAAAGGCACATATATATATATATATATATATATATATATATATATATATATATTTTTTTTTTAATAACTAATAACTGACATTGATTGCATTTAACATTTTCTGACTTTTAAACCTCCTGATGACATAGTATTGTCTTTTTAAGATTTGCTTTTTTTTTTTTTTTTTTTTTTTTGTGATTATACCCTTTCTGTTTATATCTACCAAAACTCCAGTTGCTTTGGAAAAACTGTGTGTCTGTTGCAGTTCACTGAACCTCAGCAGGTGCTCTGACATCGCTGTGGCATTAAAAGACACGTAAATGCATGTTTTCACTAATGGTGCTGGTGGTGCTATTTAAGGCCTATCCTCCGAGCTGTTGGTTTTCCTTAAAGCCTAACCGAGCAGACAGCCTGGTCTTCGGTAGCTGCATCAATGACTAACATCTGTTTATTTAGCTCATGGCACCCAGTGGAATATCAAAACACTATCAGGATGGGTGCTTTGAGTATGAAGCCTTATTTAATCATAACTGGATTTTGGTCTTTTTGGTTTAGGCACATAAAGTGACTTTATCCTTTTAATAAAGATAAAACCAACGTGGTGTCTAAGTATGAATCCAGCCAAGGGCGTAGGAATATGTTTACAATTGGGGGGGACACATGTCGGAAATCTGAGATTCGTAAATATTCAACAGAAACATGTCTTAAGTACGCTACTTTAAAAAAAGGCTATTTAATCTTTTACTTTATTCCTTTATAAATGTGTCTTGCAAAAATAATGCATTTAAAATTTACATAATGCATTTGTTCATAAGATGTGAGCATATCACCAAACAAAATGACTGGAGTCTTTTATTAAGCAAAGGGAGATGTCTTTCAAGGGCTTCAGCCCTTGGCATATTTAGTGTCCGCATACGCACTAGAAAATCAAATATTTCAGTTGGATTAAAAACAATTCAGTAGGCCACAGAAGTGCAAAGTTTGATATGTTTTATTTTGTCAAACTTGCAATAATGGTCAAAATGAATTTATATAGATTGACTGACAGAGGGAGCTGACAGTGTGGTGAAGAATTATGGACAGGGCGCTTTGAAGCATCTGGTTCAAAAACGCATTCTAAATCTTTGGTAGAAATCCATCTATCCTTCCATTTTCTGTACACCCTGTCCCTTAGTGGGGTCAGGAGGTGCTGGTGCGCCAGTCTGTCCCGACCTTTGGTAGAAATGGCGTCTTCAATTCCAATTTGCAGTACAGAACAGAGAAAACTACAGAGTTGTCAATGTTGTGTTAATCTGTTTATAGTCTAAAAAGAGGAGCCAGCAGTTTATTTGAGGAAATAAAGGTGCAGAAGTTAATTAGTTGGTTAATTAGTGGTTGTGCAGCAGTTCGCTGCTAAGAATTAAAATTAATTCTCCCTGTGGTTTTAACTAACGATCAGGAGCGCGGCAGGTATAACATCTGTCCATTTCGGCGAATCAAAACCACACAAAAAATAAAAAATCCCAGACCAGGCTAATTTCAACACAAGTTGTGTTAGGTGACTGTTACTCACACTGACGTTTCTCTTTTTTAAAAATCTGAGTAAGTCCTACTGCTGTTTAAGCCTTTTAGTTGGTGGTGGCATTGTACTGAAATGAGATATATATAAAAAAAAATAACATTTTGGCTAGCGTGGCAAACATCTAGAGAAAGTTAGCAGTTAAATATTGGATGAGTGATCAGCCCAAGACTACGGAAGAGGATTAGGGCCACTGAAAAAAGTTAAGTGATTTTTAAATTTTATTTCAGTTTAATACAGGAAAAAAGTCAGAATTCTGACTTTTTTCTCAGAATTCTGACTTTTTTTCACAGAATTCTGACTTTAATCTCATAATTCTGACTTCTTTCTCAGAATTCTGACTTTAATCTCAGAATTTTGGATCTTAATGTAGATGGGCACCATGAAGGTAGAGATGTGGAGCATTCAGCTTCACTGATAAAGATGTGAGTTGTTTGAGATGGCCAGTGACACATTGGTGAAAAATTACAGAATTAGGCAACTTTTGATGTGCCCGAGGGGTCCCCCTTATAAATGGAGGAGCAGAAGGTCATTAAAACAAGAGAGCTAGTCTCTAAAACAGACATGGCTATGGCTTGATGCTAACATGTTTGTTTTTAAACATACTTTTGTTATATTACATTTGTGTTGTGTTTTCCAAATAGTGTAGAAAATGAATGGTGGGTTTATAATGTTTACCTTTTATGAGCAAGACAGGAAGCAGAGAAGTGTAGCATTACCTCCAACTAGTTAAACTCATAATTATGAAGTTATTCAACAAATTCCTCAAGTAAAAAGTGCAACTTTTATTTTTTATTTATTTATTTTTTAACAGATTTGTTGATTAATTTCAAAATTATGTATTCCTTCCAAATTTCCAAATCTGAAGAATTTTTTAAACCAATATCTACATTATTTAACATTTAGTTTGTTTTAGCAGTACTTCCTGTTATATTTCTTTATACGTATATTTGAGATTTTCTTGCACAGCAAGCTCAGCAGATTTGAAATTGTGTGCTTGTGTACAAGTAGTAAATCTTTACTCTAAACATATATTCTGGTTATTTTTTTAGTTAGACCTTCTTGTTTTTATATATCTGTATAGTACCCCCCCCCCCCCAAAAAAAAAAAAAAACACTGTAAATTGATTAGAAATATTAATCATCTGTCAGATTTCTGAGAAAAAAGTCAGAATTCTGAGATTAAAGTCAGAATTTTGAGGAAAAAAGTCAGAATTCTGAGATTAAAGTCAGAATTCTGAGATTAAAGTCAGAATTTTGAGGAAAAAAGTCAGAATTCTGAGATTAAAGTCAGAATTCTGAGAAAAAAGTCAGAAGAAAAAAGTCAGAATTCTGAGATTAAAGTCAGAATTCTGAGAAAAGTCAGAATTATTACTTTTTTACCCATGTTAAACTAAAAAAAAATTTAAAAATCAGTTAACTTTTTTTTTTCCAGTGGCCCTAATCCTCTTTCGTACAAGACTAAGATGACTAAACCAAAAAGATTCAGTTTCTATATATGAAAGTGAACTGACAACAAAGAGGCAGCATCCCGACAGACCATTTTACCTCTTTCACAAGTTTCTGACTTCTGTATCGCTGTTTCCCTCCCTTCACTCTCACTCAGCAGTTCAGAGAGGGGAGGGGGAGTACAGTGACGTAATGCTATGCTGCGCCTTCAAAATAAAAGCACGCTAGTAAAAAAATGTCAAAATCTAATATTTTGCGGTACAATTTTTTGGGGGGGACATATCCACCTAGCTTTTATATTGGGGGGACATGTCCCCCCCGTCCCCCCCGCTTCCTACGCCGCTGGATCCAGCTGTTCTGTAAATCCTTGGAGGTTTTTTTTGAATAAGGGAATAAAGTGCACCTTAAAGAGCAAGGGACAGCAGGCAGGTATGGGATACAGTTGTGGAGGTTTAAAGCAGGGTTATATCTAACTATAAATGTCTCAATTACTGCATTAAAAATTTATGGAGGAGTAGAAATAGGAAAAGCAAGATTTAAGACTCTAAAGAGCTTGGAATCCTGGGGTTCTGACTTAAAGCCCCACTCTGGGTCTCTGAGCAAGACCCTTAACCCCCAATTGCTCCCCGGGCCCCCATGATGGCAGCCCACTGCTCCCCAAGGGACTGGGTTAAATGTAGAAGTAAATTTCTCCAATGTGAGATCAATAAAATAAAATTATTATTTATTATTTTTAGAAGATAGGAAAAGATAAACATGTGGAAGAAGGCCCTGCAGTAATTTTAGACAAAAACAACATTTTGGCCTCTATTCAGATTTTAGCATGTTTCATTAGCAGGATGCACACCAACCTGCTGAATGAAAGATGGAGGTGGTATCATGCTGCGGGAGTGCTTTGTTTAACACACACCGGGATGAAGCAGTGGTGAATTAATCTAAAAACTGGAGAATTATGACAGAAAACCACTTGTTCTTTGCTAAATATCAGACTGAATTATGTAAACATCCTCAGAGATAGATGTTAGAAGCCTCTTTTCATCCAATGTATCTGTAAACAAAAGGTCATAAAGAAAAATGTTTCAAAATTTAGTTTTCACTTTTCAAATCTAAAAATAATGTACAACCAACTTTTTATCTTTTAAAACTACATAATTTTTCATCCTCTTCATGTTGATGCTATTCTGTGTTGATCTATGAGATTAAAAAACCCTATACTCTGTGGCTCTCGCATTATATAAAGTACAACAGTTAAACTGCTATTATTAAGACTGTAATTTTTGATCTTCTGTTGTTTATATCCAAATGCTCAAACATTGGGTCATGTAAAACAGCCACATGGTTCCAGAAAGTTTCTATTACACTGCTTAAGTTATCCTCCCTTGTGTTTTGGTCAGGTTACGTAACGGTGGTGGGATTCATCAGTTTTGCCGTGTGTTACCGTTACGGCCCACTGGTGGATGAGAAGAGCATCAACATCCTATCTTGGACCCTGCAACTGTTTGGCCTACTTCTGATTTACCTGGGAATTCAGATCCAGCAGGTTGCCCTTGCTATCATCGTGGCATCTTTGCTCTCCAAAAATCTGGAGTATCCAGTCATTCTGGCATTGGCAGCATGGAGGTATGCAGTACTCCAAAGTTGACAGAAGATGGCGCAAGAGTACAGGAAAAGTTGTAAATCTACTGTTAAGGCATAATGGGAAACTTTTTAAATGGTTTCACAGATTTTGAAGATCTTGAAGTGTAAATTCCTCTAATATTTAGGCTTGCTGTAAATGGCAAGTTTTTGTCTGTTTGGATTATTTATTTTCATAAAGTTGATAAAGACGACACACTTTTGTTAAAATGCCAGGTTTTTGTGTAAAAAGACTGAAATATAAAATAACTTTTTGTTATTAAATGCAACCATCTCTTGTAGAATTGGTAAAGAAACAATAAATCTGCTAAAGAGACAAAAAAAAAAAGCTTCAACATCCCTTTTGCATACAGGTGCATACTTTCAAACTCTGTGATGAAGCCATATGTATTATCTTTGTTAGGTTACTGATATATTTATTTTGCCCCTCTCCAGCTTTAGTTTTTGTGCAGTTATTTGATTAATATAATTTCAATTTCCTGATTAATAAAACAAAACAAAAAGATATTTGTACAAAAAAGTGTTTTTCATTGCTCTTTTTGTCTATGGATCATATTACTTCTATGTTTTAACCTAGATTAAGATTCTTGACATGCTTTTGGTTTAAATGCCAAACAAAACATTTAAACAATTTTCTGATTTTATTTGAGTTTTTTCTTCATTAAACACAGCTAGGGCTGGACAATTAACACCTTGGTTCCCACTGCCCGGGAAGTTTTAAGTCAAATTTTGTTCTGCATCCCACCATGTTGTGCGTCTTTAGAATCAGGCCATCCTAAAGAAAATGATTATCAACTCAATTAAAAGACAACTACAGGGATTAAAGTATTCTGGCCACAGGCTGGATTTCTGGCTCGTAGCGATTGCCTGTGAGGGTAAATAAATAAAAAAAGACAATCAAAATCCCTCTCGCATTTGTCAGCCAATGGTTGCAAAGGAATCCTCTGAAACTAACAGTATTAGCCAATCAGAAAAAGAAGGGGGGCGGGTTTTAGGAAAGCGTGTACTCCTCCTGTTTCTTGCCCAAGTGGCCAAATAGATTTTGGTACAGTGCTGAAGTTCTACACGGAAAACACAGCGCAAGGTGACTTTTCATATATATATATATATATATATATACTCCACATTAATGTACTATCAAGATATATGTATTTCCCTTAAAATAAAATCACATGTCTTAATCCACCTAAGCTCATTTTACCATGAAGAATTAAAAATAAAGTTGATACAAGCCAATTTTCCCCGTTTCTATGGACGTGTGTCCGCCATTTTAGATTATTTACGTTATGTGGGCTTATTTGCCAATCTGTTAGCTCTCAAAATCATGCACATGTTTTTTTTTCTCAGTATCTAAAATGCATCAGAAATGTCCAGGACCTGAGGAACGCCGTCCCCAGGCTCCTGCGTCACTAATCTTTGCCTAGCTGAACTCCCCTAATCAATGACCAACCAAACATTGATTGACATAGTTTGTTAGCCAATAATCTTTGTAATGAAGTATTGGAGGTGTATGGGCGGGCTGAAAAGATTGTACTTATTGATGTGTGTAAGGAGTGAGAGGAGAAATAACTGCAAATGCACAGAAAATGCAGTCAGAATTCTGAAAGCTGAACATTTTGGATATACAAGAAAGTTATTGGTATATTAATCATAAAATTCAAACAATCCATTTCGGCACTTTTGATTCTAATTTGGATCAATTGACCTTTTGCATACAAGAAAGGTCACAGTTTCACAATGATTATGACTAGAGAAATTTTACATTTATCTTCCACACCATCAACAAGTGTAGTGAGGCAGGAAGGTCGGCTATGAATTATACCCAAGATATAGAATATTAAGAATTGTATTTTATTTGTGAGAAAAAAAATGTATTCCATTGTACATGTTTTAAGTTCCATAGCTCAAGCTTTGTAAAACTTGTACGCATATCTCCAGAAAATAGAAGCTCTTAGCTTTCAAATGAGACAGATCACAAACATGTGGGATTTATATTATTTTACTGCCCTATGGCAATGGTGGGTAAACAAAAAGCAGTTAGTATAATGACAGACACCTGAACAAAAGAAAAAAATACATCGACAGAAATGTTCTGTACTTTCATTTAACTCTAATCCAGAACCACACCTCTTTCTGGGGATGAAGGAAATTCTCTGCCTTGGCCTTTATCTCTCATACATTTTCCAGTCATATCTCGCTGCCCTAATCACAACTGTTACTTAAATTAAATATATTCTTGGATAATATCCTATTTATTTTTCCTTTCAAAGAATAGAGATTTAAACTTTTTACCAATGTGATAAAACATTAAAGTTTTTTTTTTTTCTTTTTTAACACCTTAGTTAAATCAGAGGAAAGCTTCAGCCAAAAGTAATCAAATTTGAATGTTTATGGCGTAAAAAAATCTAAAGACTGAAAATGTATGCATTTGTAATGTGAAAAGAGGCTTTGATCAAGTAGTAGAAACCATGCTGTTTAGATTTTGTACATCAACATATTGGGGTTTTTAGTTGAATGCAGCTGATTTGTCACATTGAAGGTGATCAAAGTTTTAAAATTTACATTTTGTATTTTTACAAAAAGTTTTCATTTAGATGTTTTGTTTTTATATTCATCATATGTGCTTCGGTTTGCAGGAAGGTCAGAGGGTATATAAACTGGAAGCCACTGCCGCGCCGCCTCCTTACAGAGGAAGAGTATCAGAAAGAAGGAGAAGAAGAGACCCGCCGTGCCCTGGAGGAGCTGCGGAAATACTGCAACAGCCCAGAGTTCAGCCCCTGGAGGGCTGTGTCCAGGCTTCAGTCCCCCAAAAGGTGCCAGTTTGGATTTTCAGACTAAAATGTTTCGGAGAAAAAGAAAGATGAATGTTGTTGCCTTTAAGCAGCAGAAATTAAACAATATTAAAACAATAGAACAGAAGAAAGCTGTTAAAATTGTGTAGCCCCTAAATAAATTACAAAATTATGATGCAGCTTTGTTTTTACTTACTGACTCTCAGATTAGATATTTTGGATAATTTAACTGTCTGTGTAAACTTTATGGGTTTTCACAGGATGGATTTAGTGATTTAATGTATTTTTACAGTTTTTTTTTTTTTACACACTTTTATCAACCAAAGGGTTTAAATAAGAGTACCGGTAATAATTATTCACCCCCAGACTGTTCCTTTCCAGATCGCATCACAGCTGAACATTTCTTGCAGCTTCTTCACTCCTGCCTTTTGCATATTTTCCATTTTAAAATTCTAACACTTATAAAAATTTCTAAATATTTTTCAGTTTTCTAAAATTTTGGACATATTAATATGAAGAATTTATCTCAGAAAGCTGATAATTGTGATCCTCTTGTTCTACAAACTTAAACAGCCCAGTGCGGACGTTGGGTTCTGATGTTTGACAGCTTATAATCTGATCTGATTTGGATCAAAGGTGATATAATTCTCTGTGTAGGAGGCTTTCCCTCTTTAGTTGAACCAGATGGAATTTAGCAGTGGATTCTCCGTCAAAAAGTCTAAATACTGTTTTGCAAATATTAGAGTCGATGTCTTATGTAATAAATCAAAGATGAAAAACACCTTTACAACTTAATCTGTGTGGAAAAACTGCATTGTAATGTAAATATAATAATAGAAATTAGACTCTTACCCAGAAGCAAAACCATATTTTCTAAAAATAAAAGATAGATTAGATACTTTTTACAGGCTGTTGACCATTTAGACCTAAGTTTCTGATTCTAATATAACTGTTTCTGCCGGTTTCCCATGACTGGTTTATGAAGAAACACTGGTATTAAAATATATATGCACATCAAATATGAACATGTATCACAATTGAAAAAAAAATGCAGAAAAAACATTTGAAAACAAAGGAAATTAGGGTCTGAAACAATTATTCAGATTAATTCTTTTAAAAATCCTTAGATATCGAGAGAAATGTATCACATCACATATACATTTGATGCTCAATAAATTTGGTATGATTACAAGTAAGAAGTGAAAGTAGAAAGGAAAATCATAGCAGCCCATTGTTGTGTATTAATGAAGAGACAGGAACAACTGCTTGAAGTGCGGACTTTGATTTTGATGGATATATGAGGTTAAAACTCACCTTTGGTGATTAATATTCAACCCAAAAATTTCAACTCAAAATTTTTTACACTGTGTATATATATATATATATATATATATATATATCCCAATCTAATGCGGCCATATTGGATTTTGAAGGTTGTTGAGAAACAGCAGTTTTTTTCTTTTCTGCTTGCTTTGAATCTCAGTTATGTGTTTAAAAATGCCCTTAATGTCATTCAGACAGCAAAAACACAAGGACAATGATTGATAGTACTGAAGTATCAGCACCGACCAGCTACTATAACAATGGAATAAATCTGCTTAAAAGCATTATCTAATATGGTGGCGCTGGAAAAACATTTGTTTCACCAAGTTGGCCCTTTGTTATAACTGAAGTACAGATGGTTGAACAGTGTCTGCAAAGAGAATTTTCTTTAACATGAGAACTGGCAGCAATGGTCACCTCAAGGCCCCCTGCCATAAAAATGGTTCCTATTCATATACAATCTAATCAATAAAACTTAATCTAGTCCTATAAATTCTAGTTGGACACTGATTATAAAGCAACACAAAAACATCAGTTGCTTCTGTAATCCTGATCATGAGCAAGCTTTGGTTAGAAGGTAACAGGGTTTCTGCTGGTCATTAAAAATCATTAAAAGTCATTATATTATAATTTTTTCAAATTAAGGCCTTAATCGGCATTAAAATTCATTAAATTTGATAATCATGGCATTAAAATGCTTCGGAAAAGAAGTTTGAGGTGGAGAAAAGGCTAGAGAATGGGGGGAAAAATGCAAATTTGAACCAAAGTGGCGGGAAAACGAGGAACTTGGGACATGGCTGCAGCCTGTCCACGGTAAAGATGACAAAGGATTTTGCCATGTACAGGTGCTGGTCATAAAATTAGAATATCATGAAAAAGTAGATTGATTTCAGTAATTCCATTTAAAAAGTGAAACTTGTATATTATATTCATACATTACATACAAACTCATATATTTCAGATGTTTAATTTTGATGATTACAAATGACAACAAATGAAAATCTCAAATTCATCATATCAGAAAATTAGAATATTGTGAAAAGGTTCAAAATTGATGGCCCCTGGTGCCACACTCTAATCAGCTAATTAACTCAAACCACCTGCAAAAGCATTTAAATGGTCTTTCAGTCTAGTTCTATAGGCTACACAATCATGGGGAAGACTGCTGACTTGACAGTTGTCCAAAAGACGACCATCGACACCTTGCACAAGGAGGGCAAGACACAAAAGGTCATCGCTAAAGAGGCTGGCTGTTCACAGAGCTCAGTGTCCAAGCACATTAATAGAGAGGCGAAGGGAAGGAAAAGATGTGGTCGAAAAAAGTGTACAAGCAAGAGAGATAACCGCACCCTGGAGAGGATTGTGAAACATAACCCATTCAAAAATGTGGGGGAGATTCACAAAGAGTGGACTGCAGCTGGAGTGAGTGCTTCAAGAACCACCACACACAGACGTATGAAAGACATGGGTTTCTGCTGTCGCATTCCTTGTGTCAAGCCACTCTTGAACCACAGACAGCGTCAGAAGCGTCTAAAGAGAAACAGGACTGGACTGCTGGTGAGTGGTCCAAAGTCATGTTCTCTGATGAAAGTAAATTTTGCATTTCCTTTGGAAATCAAGGTCCCAGAGTCTGGAGGAAAAGAAGAGAGGCACTTCATCCACGTTGCTTGAAGTCCAGTGTAAAGTTTCCACAGTCAGTGATGGTTTGGGGTGCCATGTCATCTGCTGGTGTTGGTCCATTGTGTTTTCTGAGGTCCAGGGTCAACGCAGCCACATACCAGGAAGTTTTAGAGCACTTCATGCTTCCTGCAGCTGACCAACTTTTTGGAGATGCAGATTTCATTTTCCAACAGGACTTGGCACCTGCACACAGTGCCAAAGCTACCAGTACCTGGTTGAAGGACCATGGTATCCCTGTTCTTAATTGGCCAGCAAACTCTCCTGACCTTAACCCCATAGAAAATCTATGGGGTATTGTGAAGAAGAAGATGCAATACACCAGACCCAACAATTCAGAAGAGCTAAAAGCCACTATTAGAGCAACCTGGGCTATCATAACACCTGAGCAGTGCCACAGACTGATCGACTCCATGCCACGCCGCATTGCTGCAGTAATACAGGCCAAAGGAGGCCCAACTAAATACTGAGTGCTGTACATGCTCATACTTTTCATGTTCATACTTTTCAGTTGGCCAACATTTCTATAAATCCTTTGTTTTTATTGGTCTTCAGTAATATTCTAATTTTCTGATATGATGAATTTGAGATTTTCATTTGTTGTCATTTGTAATCATCAAAATTAAACAAAATAAACAACTGAAATATATGAGTTTGTATGTAATGTATGAATATAATATACAAGTTTCACTTTTTAAATGGAATTACTGAAATCAATCTACTTTTTCATGATATTCTAATTTTATGACCAGCACCTGTATATACAAGTCATGGGTGCTTGTTGATGGCATTAAGATTATTTTTAAGAGCATTAAAAGAGCATTAAAAAGCATTAAATACGAGTTACTCATTCATGTATAAACCCTGGGTAAACAACTTAAGCAGAACCAGTCTAAATGTATATGGTCTCCATAATCAACAGGTTTGCTGATTTCATCGAAGGCTCCCCCCACCTGATGCCAAACGAGGTGTCCATCCACACACAGGAATACGGCTTTGGAGGAACTTTTTTCGAGGACGAGTTATTTGACACCGACGACGAGGACGAGGAAGAAAAACTCGAGCCGATGATGAAGCTGGCGTGAGATAAAACTGTTATTGTCTCTCAGGAGGTCAGGTTGAAGAACTTCTCGCTGCAGACGTCCAGGTCGACATGTAGACTTGATGGAGGGAATCTGTGGACTGGATACCACCCAGAACCATCACACCTGGAACCATGAGATGAGCTTTGTGAGTCAGAAAGACAGTGCACCTTAAAGCACATACATTCTTTAGCAGGTCAACCCTTTAGTTGCGAATGAATGAGCTGTAATATGGGGAGTTTCTTTATCCATAAGTGAGGTTGCACTTTTCCAAAATTTTATTTCCAACCCTTTGGCTCTGATTCAATCAACTAAAGCGAAAGGATCCAGTTTACATTTTCTCCACACTGACACCCTTGAACAACAGCTTTATATTTATGTAACTGTTATTTCACAAGAACGATGAGGCTTGTGAATCCTTCTGTTATCAATGTTTTTGGACGTGTGTGTGTGGAACAATCCCAAGATATTTTGAATAAAAAAATATTTTTTATTTGTGTGTCGGTATCATTACGCTAATCAAAGCTTTTTAAACTTGGAATTATATTTTTGATTATTTACAAATCCTAAAATATTCCATAAATTTCCTTTAATTGTGTTTCTGATACAGGTAATCTGGATGGTATTTAAAGCATTTTGTTCCTAATAATATAACATAACAATCTTCACAAAGTATCCTATTTTGGTGAAAAAAATATAAATGTGATTTTGGGAAACATATTTTTTAGATTTGGAAAATCAAAAAAACAATTATTCTAACGTTTTGTACATCCACCTTTGGTATCAATTACAGCCTCATTTATAACCTGATGCCAGCAGCTTTAGCGGTTCGGTGCGTTCTTCTCTGCAGAACACATGAAGCTCCATCAGGTTGGAAGTGAGACGTCTCTGCAGCCATTTTCAGATCTCTCCAGTGACCGTCAGTCAGATTCAGATCTGGCCTTTACAGGACATTTACAGAGTGGTTTTGTTTCACTCCTTACAGACCTTAACTGTGTGCGTTAGGTCACTCATAAGCAGTTTTATCCAGGGTGTCTCTGATCATTGCTGCATTTATTTTTTTTCCTTTATCCTAACTAGTCTGCCAGTTCCTTCTGCTGACAAAAGTTCATTTATGCTTCACTATAGGCATGGTGGTTTCCTACAAACATGACACCTGGAATTCTCAACAAATAGTTTAATATTTGTATAATCAGTTTCTCCTGGCCTGAGGGTCTGTCTGGAGTGTTTTGTCAAACAGGCTGCCTTGTGCCTTTCAATGACTGGCTTCTGTCAACCATTCTTCCATGCAGGCCGTCTCTTGTTCCTCTGGAAGGTTCTCTTTCCACAGAGGAACTCTGTAGCTCTGGCAAAGTCATAATGGGCTTCTCGTTTACCTCCCTGACCAAAGCCCTTCTCCCCATCTGCTCGTTTTAACCGGACCACCAGCTTTAAGAAGATTTGGGTTGGTTCCAGACTTCTTCCATTCTCAAAAGATGGAGGCCGCTGAATCCATTGGGACCTTCAAATCAGTAGAACATGTTTATGGATCCTTCCCTAGATTTGTGCCTCCTGTATGGTGTTTGCGGCCTGATATGCACCATCAACAATGTAACCTTATATAGACAGGTGTGTGCCCCATCAACTGAATTTAAAACAGGTGGACCCTATTTAAGCTTTATTAACATCTCAACGACCTGTGCAAACAGTACCCACCACAGCAGTTTTCTCTTTGTAATAACTTTGCCACCTCATATATATACACATATTTAAACATTTTATAGTGTGGATTGTAAATTGGTGTTAATGATTCATGTATAAAATCTATTGTTGCACATCAATCAAAATTCCCACATCTGTTTATGTATCAATCATAAAATGCCAAACATGATCCACAGGGCTGACATTGTTGCTTATGAATGCCTAAAAATAAAAAAGGAAAGGAAAAGGTCAAATCAACCAGAACCTAAAGACACTCTGTTAAATAAAAAAGGTAATTAGTGTTATTGGTAGCATGACCATGAACTGATACTTTCCAACCCCATAGGAAGAATGTAAATCTTTGGAATTTCCTCTTTACAACTTTAAACAGCACAGCGTCATACTCAGAGGTTTACACATCAAATGGATAAAAACTGTACAAGACTTTAGGTTGAGACTATTTAATTTATTTCAGCTGCTATCAAAATGCTAGATGTATACAATGCTAGATGTATTTTTAAACTCTCCCTAAACTTTTGATAAAAGGGTTTTCACAAATTAAATCCTTCACTTTATTGAACATAAACAAGTATTTTTCCTTCTTTTTTGTTAGAAATAGATACTTTCAAATCTATTAAAGTTATTAAAGTCAGACCTATGTCTGAATTTAAAGGCTAGTTCACAAATTTTCAACATGAAGGTTGTCTGTGTTTGGGATGTTTGTCCTATTCTCATGCATATCTGCTGCACAAGCTTCAATCATCCAACCCAAGGTGTCACCCTAAGGTGAAATAAAACGGTAGCATTCATCAGAACCAAACATACCGGGTATTTTCTCGAGGCGGCTGGACTGCCGGCCTCCCAGGCCACCATGGGCTCACAGGATGAAACCTATAACGCGGCTACTGCTCATCTGAGATTAACTGAAATTTGCAGCTGCATATAAACTAACGGGGGAAGCTTCATAGATAGACCAGGTGATGTTTGAATATAAACAGATGTATATAATTCAATTCCCCTTTGGGAAATGATCAATTATTTTTTAATTGAATTTGGAAGAGTCCAGATAAAGCTTTCAACCCTTAGAAATCTACTAACTGACAAGCATAGAAGTGTGCCCGGGGAGTGGTGTAGGCTGTGGGGATGAAACCAGGTACTTGCAACCCTCTCAGAGCACAGGCACACTGCTCTAACCACTAAGCCAACACTCCCCCAAGCATGACGTTGGCTGAGTCCATCTGGAGGTTCTGGTGCATGATTGTTTAGTGATTTATAATCACCAAGTTTGCCTGACTGCAGCTACTTGACATTAATCCTTTACATAAAAAGGGTTTTTGTGATGGAGAAAGGACTCCATTAACTTTAAAACCCTAGACCTGAATTTAAAGGAAACAGTTTGTAGTTGGTGCGCTATCCTTTAAGGAACCATCCATTTTAAATGAACTCTACCAAATCTGCCAAGAAGATTTGTCAAATATTCGACCAGAGTTATTCCAAAGGCTTATTGTTAGCAAGCAAAGGAAGGCGGTCAAGGTTCAGCCTTAGTATAATAAAATCACAGTCTATTTTAAGCACATCAGAGAATGACAGTATGTTTTTATCTGAGACTTTAAGTCACATACAGACATACAAACATTTGTCAAATTCTAGCAGAGAAGCTAACTACTTCAATTCTATTTCTGGTCTGATTTGTTGGCTTAATAACTTCTTAACAATTAGCTTATCAACAGATGAAGGTAAATTTGGTCCTTTTGTATGCCTTTGTTTCTTCTTTTCCCACCACTGGGCCTCCCCAGGTGTGTTTTGTAACTTTTCCTTTTTATCTTGTACACTGATACCTGTCACAGTCAACCTGAGCAACATATTTCACTTTCATTGGGGAGTTATCTGACTGGTGTCAGATCTTACATTTAAAGACTGACGTCTCGAAAACAAAATTAAAGGTTATGGACCTCATGAGGAACAAAATGTAACCACAACAAATTTCAAGTGATTACAAAGACCTTGGAACAACAATTGATGACTAAAAAAAATGGCTAAAACCAGCTGGTGGATATTTTTATTGAAAGTTTTGTTTTAATGTGAATTCCCCTTCTATGCATACACTCTGTTCTTTTTTACTAAGTCTGTTCTCACTTTTAAAACCGTCTGCTAAAATAAACCTTAGGGACCTCAATCACCTTCACAAGTCTTGTTCAATTCTGAGCGTAAAGCAAATACTGGTGAAACAGGACCACCCTTTAAATTATTTCCTTCTGGATGTATCTCCTTTGCAGATTTGGGAAAATTTGATTAAAAAGAAAAATTGTTCCTGTAGGTATAAATCCATTTATTTTAATTTTCTGATTTTAAGATCCTGTATAATTGTATTTTCTAGTATTTTGATACTCTGCGTTTTGTACTGTACTGTATGAAGGTGATTTAAGTCTGAGGAATTTTAATTAGAACACCAAAATAAATGCAACCATGGGCATCCAGTTCTTGTTTTTATTTCCAGTGTTCCATGAATAAATAGTGCATTGTCATAACACGCTGAATGAGACGGAGAATTCAAAAAGCATCAGAGCTACAAATAAATTAGTCATGTAAGCTTTAAGTTATGTGCTGCTTACTGGAAATTTATCAAAAGTTATCAGATATTGAGAGCAATTGGAGGGGATGAGTGTTGATTTCCCAGTATTGGTTGAAGATTTTTATCATTTTACCCTAATTTAAAAAAAAAGTTGCATGAAAAGATTTCAATCGAGGCTTCTGACCTTTTTAATACGTATTAATAATTTGGGACATCTTTATCTTTCTGTGTAACTTTGATTCAGAACGTTAACAGAAAAATGACTGTCATCGCAATCTTTTTAATCTAAAAAAAATAGGTGCATGTCAGCATGACTGTTAGAACGCTTAAAGCAGAAACAGAACCAATAATAAAAAAAGCAAAACAAATTTCCAGATCATATCTTTCATCAAGCAGCACTCGATATATTTGAAAAGAAAAGGAAAACCTCATATTTATCCTTTCTCTTTGACTCTCCCCCTCTAGTTTCAGTGACTCTGATCTGACTTTTTGGGGATGACGTGAGATTTCCATCCAACTGCGAGGAGAATCCCACCTTTGGTTTCTTTACGTTCCGTGCGTGTCTATTGGATGTCCACGCAGGAACAACCCAATAACGCCGCTCCAAATGAAAACACGTGATTACTCCACAGGTTGAAAACAGCTGATACAGCGAGCGTTATTTGCATGTATTTCCCAGGCTAAACTTGACATAGTCAACATTTACGCAGCGCTGTATTTCCTTTGAACTACTTCCCCGAAACGCGCATTTCAAACAGGGAAACCCTGGCTCCAATGCAAACATGACTATCGAATACAGAAGGGGGGGAATCCCTCAGATATACGAGCAATTGGAGTACTCTGTGACAGCCCCCTCATGTAAAGTGTCTGGACTTCCCCAGAGTTACAAGCTGACCTACGTGGGTCCAGTGGATTGCTTTGAACATCCAGACAAACTTGTTTACCTGGACCAAGTGGACTCTAAAAGATGGGCAGTCCTGTTTTTAGAGGGAGCATTTTTCTTCTAAAATGATAAGCATGTGGTTTTATTTCTGTGTATTGTAATAAGAGTTTATTGTAGGCGTATGATTGCATACTGGATTGAGTAGAAAAGGAACCGATTCATTTATAATTACGGCAACAAACTTTGCTTTTTATAATTGCAGCCGGTGCAACAATAAAAAAAAAAAGAAAAAAATTAAACATCACCAACTTAAACTGGTGCAGTTTAAACCTTCAAAAACACAAGCAATAGATCTTATTTTACTATCAGAACATATTTACTTTGAAGAAACAGTGCATTCAGATTTTTCAGGCTGTGACCTTCAGAGTCCTCCCAGCTGTTTTTTTTCCTCTCCTTCAACCTTTTACTCAAAAAACAAAAACAGTTCAGCAGGAGCCGAGAACTTCAAGTCCAGTTTTTGTGGATAAAGTCCCAGTTTTTCTTTCTTTTTTTTAACGGTGCATCAGTACTTGTTGATGCCAAATATCCGTACTCCGTGAAGCTGGGGCAGCTTTGGGATGAGGACAGTCAGCAGAGAGCACGTGTTGATTAAAAAATGCGTTGCATCGTATTTTGTGTAGAAACTGGCCAGAATGTACCTGTGAAGAGAAAAAAGCATCAGCATTAAATGGTTTGGAACTAGAATTAGCTCATGTACAAGTTTACAAAAAATGCATTTTTATTGTCTGGGTCCCTGCTTATAAGCAGATCACTTTGTCAAGTCTTTGCAGTTACAACTAAATTTGGCACAGATTTGCTAATAAAAATGTATAACAGGGCTTAGTATAAAATGCGCCTTATATGTGATGGATTTTTATTTGGTATCCTTTTAACTTAAAAGTTTTTTACTTCTCTCTTATGGTCCATCCAATGAAATCCAGCTAAAAGATCAAGTTTTAACCTAAAGAAAATAGCATTTGCTTAATTTTTTTCATTTTCTATTGATATACATCATATATGTTGCAATTTTCTCAAATGCCTCAAATGTCATTTTTATGCAGATGACTTGCTAATCTATTGCTGCTCTTCTTTACTACCACAGGTGTTTACAAACGATTAAATTGCTTTTGAATGTGGAAAATGAAAGCCATTGTATTATTCAATTTCTGAAGGCTGTCTCCATTTATTACTTTTGAGTTTGCTGCGACTTATTAAAACGTAGTTTTTATATTTGGGTTTAGGAGCTCTCCTTTTTATAAGTGCTGAAATGGATCTCATTTCCCTTTCTAGCAACAAAATATGGTCACAGCTACCTCTTTGGATCTGCTAGATTACGGCTAAATGCCTTCAGTCACTGAATACTGCATCATCAGGCTGCAGACGTCTCGTGCATCTCTATACCAAAAGCTGGTCGGACTCCTCTGATGACTTGCATTTATAAAACTATTCTTTTCTAGGCTGCTTTATACTTTAATGCTACAAAAATGTACCACTGCCTACTGTTTTTGCTCCATTTCCTTTTTAATTTTTTCCATGAGCTCAAACAAAAACAGGCATTTAGCATTCTGAAATCATCTCCAGTCTGAACTCTTTATTTCATAATATTCCAAACCATTCTTATAAGTAAGCAGCTTTTTTAGTTCTTTGCTTTATTTTCTTTATATTTTTTTATTGCATTTTCTTTTTAACTGTTGTGTGCTGCAGATTTCTGCCTATGTCCCTCCTTACAAATAAGAACTCTGTCTCATTGGGGTTTTCATTTGGGTAAATAAAGAAATAAAACCATAAAAACATTTGCACCATCTTTTAATTTACTTAACTTAAAAGCTAATTTAATTATGAATCAAACAGGTACCGTTATTCTCATTATTATTCACTTTAAGCAATTTTCCTTACAGATTTGGTTCGATAACTGAGCTGAGCTTTGAATGCACATATTTTAAAGAAAGATTAGTTGTGAAATGTGTTCCTGATTTTACAGACACCAAAAGTGTCTCTCTGACATCCTTTCTGCTGCTTCTGTTTAGTCTGTGACGTAGAGTCTGCTAGTTTGCATAGAGCAGGTAACTCAGCACACCTGTGGGGGGGCGTCTGAATGCCAGGTGTAAAAACAAACCTAGAGCTGCCCACATGGGATAGATTACCCAAACGCCCAATGTGTTCTACAGGACAGGATGTGTATTCATTTTTTTCCTTTAGTGAGCAGGAAATTGACACTTGGATGTATTTTCCCATATTTTAGGATCATGTGTTATAGATGTAGTTAAATGTTGTGATCCTATCTAAAGGGGGATCCCACAGGCCCTCTGTTGAAAGTCTGTTCTTAAAACAATTTCTAGGTGCTGCCAAGAGCTCAAGGGGGTCTGCAGATGCTTTCCCAGTCTGTTGAAGACAGAATGGAAGTGAAAAGCAAATCTCTTGATTTACCAGTCAGTCTATGTTCCTACCTTCCCCTATGGAAGTCATTCCAACCCTGTTCCTCAGGGACCCCTGCCCTGGATGTTTTAGCTGTTTTCTTGTTGCATCACAACCGAAAATAAATAATGATTGACAGGTTTCTGCATTACTTGTTTGCAGAGGAGGAGCCATCATTTCACTCAGTAGTGCTGGAACAACGACTTATTTAAAACATGGAGGGCAGGGGTCCCTGAGGACCAGAGTTGGGAACCACTGACCTATGGTCATTAAATCTGAAAGAATGAGATCCCAAATACAAGTGGCTGAAATGGGAAGTTGTCTGAGGCGAGGGATGTCTGGGCAAACACTGGCCCTCAGTCTGGTCCAACCTGGTTGAACGTTTTGGAAAAGACTGAGTGCTATCCAGCAAACCAATGAGGAAGGTATGATTATTAATAGTGTCATACGTATTAGTGTTATACGTTTAGCAGCTGTGGAGGGTTGTTGAGAAAGCTATTAGCATCAAAAGTGCTGAGGATGAAGATTTAACCTGTTCAGCAAACAGGCTTTTAGAGCAAATTTACAAATATATACAACAGTATAAGAAAATCTCTGCAGCTTTCAGGCCTCCATCCAAATGTTTTACTATCATGACAAAACCAAAATTTTAGGAGTTTAAGATTTTATTTCTTAGTTTAAGTGCCTCCATCTCCTTGAACCCCAGTCGGCCTAGGCAGATGGCCGCTCACACTAAGCCTGCTTCTGCTCGAGGTTTCTTCCTTTTAAAAAGGGAGTTTTCCTCTCCACTGTCGCTACAAGCATGCTTGGTGTGAGGGATTGTCTTTGAGTCAATGAGTCGATGCGATCAACTGGTTTTTCTTAGATAGAAAACTTTGAACCAATCTGACTGCTTGATCTGAATTAATTATCTCTGTAAAGTGCCTTGAGATTACATGTGTTGTGAATTGGCTCTATACAAAGAAACTAAATTGAACTGAGTAACTTTTCCAACAGACTGAATTATTTCATTTGATCTTTACTCTCCTTTTTAGTCACCAATACAACTATAATGGTGAAACAAATAGATGGCTGAGAGAAAAACATTGTAGTTCTGCATTAAAAGCTTAATTCTTCAAAGTTTTCTTTACATATTTTTGCCAAAATGTCAGTAATTGTGCAGATTTGTGTGACTGATTCCGGAGCAACACATTTTAATTTAAAACAAATATCTCTTAACTCTGCTTCTTATTGGCTGTAGAATCTCCTACTTCACCAAGGTGCTGGGAGGATCTTTAGGCTCCCTGCTCCTGGTTTTCCCCAAAATTTTCCCCCACTTTAATATGATCTGAATATTCCAATCAGTCAGCACAATGGCTGTTCTTTGGTATAAAACCATTCAAGGAAACAATTTATAAATTTACCAGCAGGTTTGATTGGCTCGTCAAAATGAAAGTGAAACATCATGCGGCACAACTGACACCGTTTGCATTTTAGCAGCAACTATACTCACAGAACAATCGGCGAGATGGTGAGGAACTTGCGTGAAGAAGTGAACTGGACACCATAGTCCATCTGTTCCCAGTGTGTGAGTAGACGAGCTTTTCCTTGGTCTGGGGTTTCAAAGGGGGTGCCCTTCACTGTGTGTAGAAACAGGTACATTGCCTGTAGAAAAGAGCACAGCTAAGTAAGCATCCATCAAAAGCATAATTTTATTTCAAAACAAAGATCCACAAATTGTCGGTTCTACCACCCTATCACAGAGCAGCTAGATAACTTCTATTGAATGAATACAAAAGCTGGAATTTTCTCATTGTTTACTTAAGACCAACCCTATAATTAACGCCGAACATGCAGAGCATGCAATCCATGGAGAGTACTATGTAGAGCAGAGTGCTGTTTAAGCTCCAACTGTTTTTATGCGAGTGCCATCTCCATGTCAGCAGGCATGTTTTACAGACTCCAGATTACACCTGATCTCTTTACACAGCTTACTTTTTATCAGCAGAATGTGAACTAAGGAAGCCAGAGAGGCTGATTTGGATTGTTCTCACCTGCTGGCAAAGTGAAAAGTGCCAGAAATTTCCTGCCTCAAAAGGACTCTCCTGTGCACAGTAACATCCCTGAGCAGAGAGTAGATGCTGCTGTGCATTATCCTGTATGTTGTGTTAAATATCAAAAGGTATTCTACCCACTAACTGTTTACCCATGTGTTGCATTCAGATCTGTAATTGTAAATGCGCTAATTTACAATACATGTCATCTCAAGGCACTTTTTTTTTTTTTTTTAATTTTTTATTTAGAAAGACAGATTTCCATTACGTCAGTAATCACAGCTTCATGCATTCAAGATTATAACTAAAGATATAGGCAGAAAGTCCAAGTGATTTTGTCCATGTTGCCTTTCTGTTTTTTTTAACAGAATATCACTAACTTAGTTGTAAAGATAACAAAAAATGAACAGAATTAAACAGTAATGGGGATTGCACCACCTCAAGTAATAAAAACCACAAAGACAGAGGGCAAGACATATTTCAGAATGACAATCAAATGAAGTCGGATCTAATTGATTTCACGTACTCAGTCCGTTTGGACCAAATCTTATAAAACTTTTTTTTTTCTAATTGGAGGGAAAAACAGATCCTTTCCATCACATAAATCTGGTAAACAATTTCAATCCATTCATCAATAGCGATCTCAAGGCACTTTGCAGAGACAGTTCAACCAGATCATACAGTCAGACTGGTTCAAAGTTTTCTAGGAAAACCAGCTGACTGCATCGACTCATTGACTTGAAGGCACTCCATCACGCCAAGCATGCTTGTAGCGACAGTGGAGAGGAAAACTCCCTTTTAACAGGAAGAAACCTCCAGCAGAAGCAGGCTCAGTGTGAGCTTGGTACTAAGTGCTGCACATTGATTAACAATTGTCTATCTCCTAAAGGCAAAATGTTGGCTATGAAGTTATTTACAGGGAAGTGAACGGTTGTACAAATTTTCTGCTTTTTTTTCCCAGTTTTTTTTTTCTTTTTTTTTTTACAAAAATAAAAAAATCTTCAAAGTTATATTTTGTAAATGGTGGTGGTAAGGGGGGTTAGAAAGTAGATTGAAATGATTTTTTTCCTTCATCATCAAAGAAGAAAATAAATACAAAATAAAATGTAAAATCTTGATGATTTGCTGAACGTAAAAACTCTTTGTACAAACTCCTCTAACACCTCTCAGTAATACTAGCTTAGATCATCTATGAAAACTTTTTTTTTTTGTTATGTTATGTTTGGAGGCTAAAGGGTTGCTGGTTCCCCACTATGTGTTGGCTTCTGGTGTGAATGTATGTGAAATACCAGAAGCAGCAGGGAAACACCTACAACAAATACTGACTTGAGAAAACACAAGTAAAATTAGAAAATCCAACAAGTTGTCGGATTTTCTTGTCAGCAACAAGACTAACATAAAAAAAAAAACATTTATAACTATAAACACAAACACAAAGTGCTTGGAAAACTATTCGGTTTCATATTTTTCCAAGTAACGACCTAAAACCTCAGTATCTGAGGGATAAGCTGATCAGGCAGGACAGCTCTATGGATGCCCTCTGGACTCGGTGCAGGAAACGGGAAACAAAAGGATCCTAACTAAATTAACATCACTGTTGGATAACGTTTCCCACCCCATGCATGAAGCTGATGCAGAACTAGAGAGCTCCTTCAGTAACAGACTGCTGCACCCTAAATACACCAGGGAGCGTTATCATAGATCCTTCCTCCCAGCAGCTGTAAGACTTTATAACCACCACTGTTCCCAACAACCTCAATAAGTTGCAACATTCAGGCTAATTTTGCACAATTTCTTCTTTCTTAGTCAGTTAGATAACACGCTGCTGTTATTTTTGCACATCTCAGATGTTGCTGCTATTTTCAAATATCCATTACAGTAAAAATGTCCATAGCTGTATATTGATTATTTATTAATATACAGCTATGCACAGTTTTATATTTTTAATACACTTTAAAGTAAAGTATTTTATAGTTTATATTTTAACTCTTCACTAGTATGTTATCCTTATACATCTTTCTGAAGTCCACATTTGTGTGACCATTTTTTTCTGTAACCTTTTTGCTGCCGTAAACACCAGAATGTCCCTATTGTGGGAAAATGAAAAGGATATTCTATTCTATCTTGCTCGAGGAAAATGGTTAAATGGAGGTCACTATCTTTTTAAATAAAACTAGGTCTGGGATTAAGTCATATGTGGTCGTCTTTGTCACCCATAAAATCTGCAGTTAGAAGTCACACAGTGTCTAGAGAGCACCTGTAGTTAAACTGATCTCAGTATAAATCAAGCTACTTTATGTTCTATGCCTGTTCAAGAAGACCAAAAGCGCTCATCAGTCCATCCTCTGAAATCAAAAGGGTGTCACAGACCCACAAAGCTACTCAGAAAAAGTCGTCTCTTAAACCTGCAAGGTAGGATCAATCAGATAGTAACTGTGCTGGAGCTGCAGGTGCAAAACTGTCAACAGGACAGCTATTGAAAGTGGCTCTTCTCTTCAGGAAAACATGGATAAAAAGAAAGCGCTTCATAAAAGAATATTTTTTGCCGTCTGTCACCATAAGATATGGTGCTCTGGCCAGGTAACATCAAACTTCAAGGCTCATTCTTAAGTTAAACTTACACTTTACTACAACTTTAAAACACCATCATCATCCCATAACATCACAAAACATCAGGTTCCTGCAAAGTGCTGAGACGCCGCACTTTTAGATATTATGTTTGGTTTTTTATTCTGATTTCTTCCACAGAAATCCAAATGAAACACAATAAAGTTTGTGGTTGCAGAAGGAAAATATGTCAAAAGGTTTATCATAAAGACTGAACTTTGTCAAAGAAGCTCCAGACACGCAGGTAAGGTTATATGGAGTGAATTTTGTTTCGTTATTGCTGCAAGCAAAGAATGTATTTTGTAAAAGAACATTTGGAAAAAAAATGCAATTCTAAAATTAATCTTTAAAAAACGTATTAATCAAAAAAGCTATTGAGAATAACTTTACTGTCTAATATTTTTTATTTATTTAATATTTTTAAATAACTTTTTTTAAATTTGAGTTTTTTTTTTATTGTGTTTTTACAAATCAGATTGTTTTCGCCTCTTGGGGTGTTCCTTTAGAATGAGGAGAGAAAGAGCATTTCTATTCGTCTGCATGGGCGATAAAAAAATCTATTTTATTGCTCAAGGGCGAGCATTTATACCTGATTAAAGTCAAGAGAATATTATCTGTAAAACACAATTAACAAAGAGTTACATTTATTTAATAAAAAAAATCTGGAAAAAAGAAACATAAAAATACAAAAAAATAAATTATAACAAAGAAATTGAGAAAAAATTAAATCTAAGAAAATGGCAAAGTTATTATAGAAAACCTCTTTAATTGAGAAATTTAATATTTTGTAATTCATTTATTTTTTATTTCCATTTACAAAATGTGGTGTTTTCAGAATTGAACTCTTTACAGTAACCGAATAGAGTTCCTAAACAGTTCCCGCACAATGTTTTGCTCTCCGTCAAGTATTTATGTCACATTCTGACCAGTATGATCATCATTAGAAAATATCATAAATCCAATACAGCGTATGGGAACGTATTTTTAAATCTGTGGACATGTTTTCAGCTACACCCTCTTCATTCACACCTGGGCTTTTAGGAGTGCTGAGATTTTGCACTCACTTTTGAACCCAACATTAATAGAACAAAATTCACTCCATCAGACTACAACTATTACTGCAATAGTTTGGAAGCGATGTTCGTCCATCTCTGATCAAAAGATGAACGGATTACATTAGCTGTGAAAAACCTGGCAAATAAAACTAAACGTGTGTGTTCAGGTGTCAGCAACTTTCACACTGACCAGGTTGTGGATGACATTGGTGAGGGTCCAGACGAGCGGCACGGATAGGAAAGGAATGCTGAGCAGGACAATGTGCAGCACCACGGTCAGCAGAAGATAGGTGAGCCATATTCCTCTGCTGTTCATCACCCGCGTGTTTGGGTTCACCTCACTGTGAGCTACGCCAACATTCATCTAGGAGGGAAGGACATGAAACGATTCACAAGCTCTGCAGATTGAAGAAAAACTGTTAAAACTTTATATCTTCATATATCTCTGTATCTAACTAGACTCCTGCAGCCAGTTCTAACAGTCATGTTAAGATAGGGGCAATCAATTCAAGTCTTATAGTACTCAATTCACCCCATCGGTCCATCCATATGTTGTCTATTAATCTAAGGTTCGCCATTCACATTTCCAAATATATGCGCTTCGTATGTTATCTCCTGTGTGAACTGCATTCATACAGCTTAAGTGTCCCGCATGCGCAGTAGAGGACGCAATGACGTCATAAGCCAGTGTGCTTCGTGTTTACGGAGGTAAACATGGATGTTGTGCAAACCTCAATCTTTTCAAGATGGTTTAAAAAAATACTGCTCTCTGCATCATTGTCCACCATGGTGTCTGTTTTTCTTGCTGCTTCTGTGTAGCAAGAACCAGAATAGTGACTTATGTCGATTACTAATGGCGTTCAGGTCCGGACCTGGCTGTTCAGACACAGGTCGCATTTGAAAAGATCAGATTCGTATCGGATCCAGGACCACATAGCCAAATGGCCTGGGTCAGATTGGAAAAAATCAGATCTCTGTTGTTCAGACAGCCATGAAAAGATCAGATTCATTTCGCATGTGGGCAAAATACCATTAAAAGCAATACAGCCCAATTTAAAAGTATCTACTACAACTAATACAACATAAATTAGAAATATACATCTCACCAGTTTATTATCTTGTTTTTGTTTTTTTTAAATGTGTAATAAATATATATTAAAATATGACAGAAATTTACTTTATTAGATTTATTTATAAAATTATTACACACAGAATTATGTTTATCAAAGGTTATGGCTTAGAACTCATAAAAAATATTTCATTAATGAAAAAATTGAATACACCACAACACTGATAAAAAAAGATTTTTAGTAAAGAAGATGTAACATTATGGAGATGCTAGAGTTTATACAATTTTGAAACACTGCTGACTTGACAGCTGTGTTACCAGTCCCAAGGTATTGCTGGCAGTCCACATCAATGTAACCATGCATAACTATGGAAAGTTAAGTGGAAGGAAAAAGGATGGCCTTAGAAGGTGCTCAAAAAACAGGAATACCAGAATCATTTAAAGGATTTGTGATGATCTACTGATTTATGGAGTCAATTGTCAACATAGAACTTTATGCTGGGGATTTTTTAAGGTGGTGCTGTTTTTATTTTCCACCAGCATTTGACACATGAGCAGACTATACAGGTGCTGGTCATAAAATTAGAATATCATGAAAAAGTAGATTGATTTCAGTAATTCCATTTAAAAAGTGAAACTTGTATATTATATTCATACATTACATACAAACTCATATATTTCAGATGTTTATTTTGTTTAATTTTGATGATTACAAATGACAACAAATGAAAATCTCAAATTCATCATATCAGAAAATTAGAATATTACTGAAGACCAATAAAAACAAAGGATTTATAGAAATGTTGGCCAACTGAAAAGTATGAACATGAAAAGTATGAGCATGTACAGCACTCAGTATTTAGTTGGGCCTCCTTTGGCCTGTATTACTGCAGCAATGCGGCGTGGCATGGAGTCGATCAGTCTGTGGCACTGCTCAGGTGTTATGATAGCCCAGGTTGCTCTAATAGTGGCTTTTAGCTCTTCTGAATTGTTGGGTCTGGTGTATTGCATCTTCTTCTTCACAATACCCCATAGATTTTCTATGGGGTTAAGGTCAGGAGAGTTTGCTGGCCAATTAAGAACAGGGATACCATGGTCCTTCAACCAGGTACTGGTAGCTTTGGCACTGTGTGCAGGTGCCAAGTCCTGTTGGAAAATGAAATCTGCATCTCCAAAAAGTTGGTCAGCTGCAGGAAGCATGAAGTGCTCTAAAACTTCCTGGTATGTGGCTGCGTTGACCCTGGACCTCAGAAAACACAATGGACCAACACCAGCAGATGACATGGCACCCCAAACCATCACTGACTGTGGAAACTTTACACTGGACTTCAAGCAACGTGGATGAAGTGCCTCTCTTCTTTTCCTCCAGACTCTGGGACCTTGATTTCCAAAGGAAATGCAAAATTTACTTTCATCAGAGAACATGACTTTGGACCACTCACCAGCAGTCCAGTCCTGTTTCTCTTTAGCCCAGGCAAGACGCTTCTGACGCTGTCTGTGGTTCAAGAGTGGCTTGACACAAGGAATGCGACAGCAGAAACCCATGTCTTTCATACGTCTGTGTGTGGTGGTTCTTGAAGCACTCACTCCAGCTGCAGTCCACTCTTTGTGAATCTCCCCAACATTTTTGAATGGGTTTTGTTTCACAATCCTCTCCAGGGTGCGGTTATCTCTCTTGCTTGTACACTTTTTTCGACCACATCTTTTCCTTCCCTTCGCCTCTCTATTAATGTGCTTGGACACTGAGCTCTGTGAACAGCCAGCCTCTTTAGCGATGACCTTTTGTGTCTTGCCCTCCTTGTGCAAGGTGTCGATGGTCGTCTTTTGGACAACTGTCAAGTCAGCAGTCTTCCCCATGATTGTGTAGCCTATAGAACTAGACTGAAAGACCATTTAAAGGCTTTTGCAGGTGGTTTGAGTTAATTAGCTGATTAGAGTGTGGCACCAGGGGCCATCAATTTTGAACCTTTTCACAATATTCTAATTTTCTGATATGATGAATTTGAGATTTTCATTTGTTGTCATTTGTAATCATCAAAATTAAACAAAATAAACATCTGAAATATATGAGTTTGTATGTAATGTATGAATATAATATACAAGTTTCACTTTTTAAATGGAATTACTGAAATCAATCTACTTTTTCATGATATTCTAATTTTATGACCAGCACCTGTAAAGGAATCAGTTGTTGCTTTAATGACCCGTTTTTGACACGCCGGCCGGCAAACTAAACCTCATTGTAAAAATATATGGAGTATTGTTTAGAGGAAAATAAAAGACACCAGACCTAACAATGCAAACAAGCTGAAGATAGCTTTCATAGCAACCCCACCCCATTTTTTTATGTATTATATAAAATGCATGGTGATACTTTCAGTAGGCTAACATTTCTGTACTGAAAAAAAGTATTAGATTTATAGAACAATAAATAATCTGATGAAAAAAAGACTTGTTTTTAGCTTTTAACCACAAGCATCCGTTTACTGATATATAAAGAACGTACATTGATCTATTATTATTTTTGATGTACATAACTGAAATGAATGACGTGTTTATTTAATTAAAAAGCATAAAAGTCAGTGTGTAAATTCCATTTAATATTGTTAGGCTTTTATTTCTTACGGCAGTCTTATTGATACAACCCCGCCCATTCGAGACGTTGTCTGAAAGGAAAACAAGCGCATCCAAAGCTAACATTTTTAGCCGCAGCTTTTATCCGCTAGCCACCAACCGCATTAAATAACTACAAAAAGTTAACTGTTCTACAGTAAACCTTAATAGCTACTCACATTTTAACTACTTATTTTTAAATTTTGAGCTTTTAGGCAATGATATAACTTGAGTTAACGTTCAGAGGCTGTTATCTACAGGTTTCCCAGCGGTTTCGACAAACTTGTGTGAACCAAAGCCAGCAGTGGCAAACTTTACATTTAAACTGAGCTGAGTTACTGCGAATTACAAGGAGTTATTTTAATGTGCCACTCTACATTTAGAGGTTTGAAAACGTCACATTTAACCGAAGCTAGCTTTACCTTTCTGTGTTGTCGTAGGTTACCAGGAAATATCTTTTTTTTTCTTTCATTAACCCCGCCCCGCCCCGCCTGTTTGGCCTGGGTTGGATCTTCTGCAGCTGAGTTCCTGAAAGGCTCTCAGGAAGCAGGTTAGGAGGTCGACGGGCCAGGAACAGAAACAAAGGTTGCAGCAATTAACTATGCATGTTTCCGGATTAATCCCGATGGGAACAACAAATTATTTTACATAACTAAATTCCCAGCAGGACATAAGGGGTTAGTGCGTGGTGCTGCTTTCAGGGACCTCCCTTCTGCTTCATCAGTTCCTTTTCTCTCTATTAATAAAAAAAAAAAAATTAGTTATTTAAGTAAACCATATTTAACGCTTTAGGTTGCATTTCACTGTGAAATGTACTTCTGCATAAAAAAATATGCCAATTTTAAGTTGGTTAAATCAGGTTAAATTAAAATGCAACAGTTCAGTATAACAGCAGACATACTTTTTTATTGCAAAAACCTATACATTTAAACTTTTTCATGCCTGGTCCCTAAATAAACACATACTTGGTTGTATTGTATTAGGATTTTAATTTGGTATAATTCAACCAGAAATAGTCTACTTGTGCAAATTCTGTTGTCTGGATAATAGAAACCAAATAACAGGCTTAACCCTTTAAAGCTGGACCATTAAATAACTTTCATGAAATTGTTTTTATTAGAATTGGCATTGAACTTTCTCCCAAGAGCCACATTGAGAGGAGCCAGTTGAGACTGCTCGGGCATCTGATTAGGATGCCTCCAGGCATATCCCACCAGAGGGAGACCCAGGAAGGAATATGTTTCTTGGCTGGCCTGGGAGCACCTTGGGGTTCCCCCGGAGGAGCTGGCCCAAGTGGCTGGTGATAGGGACGTCTGGGCCTCCATACTGAAGCCTCTACCCCTGCGACCCGACACCGGATAAGAGTAAGAAGATGGATGGATTGAACTTTCTTTAAAAAAAAAAAAAATGCATTTGGTAGTAATTACATTTGGATCCATTATTTGCATCATTTGTCATTCAGTAGGCATTTCTGTATAATCTTTTATAGATGTTCTGGTCACTTTGTGTATCTGTTAGTGTAGGTCTGGGTTTTCAACTCAAGAATTATCACACTGATGTTGCAGATTTGATAAACTTGGTTTTAAAGGGTTAAATAGGAGGCAGCTGGACTTTTACTTAGTTATTCTGATAAGTTTTGAGACCTATATAAGAGTCTTTTTCAATTCTGGTGGTTAGATGTTTACCAATTTGAAGCCTGTTTTTTTGTGTAAAAGCATGGAAATATTTTATGTAATCTTTAGAGGAATGTCCTACCTTCTTTCTCGTCAAATGACCCACGCTTAATTTAGATTGGCTAGGGAGCGTCATGCAGACATTTATCAACTTGATTTCTTTCTGGTTTTGACCATTTATTTGCAGCTCTGTATTTAGCATGACCCACCCATTAATGCATCCAGTTGCTTAAACATCATCATGATGCTGCCCCCACCGTGTATAGTGTATTTTCCTGGTGTATAAGCCACAAAAATAACTCAGTAAGGCCCAAAACATTAGTTTGTCTTATATGATGAGAGCACCTTGATAAACATGTTGCTGCATCTTCTGTATGGCAAGTGATAAACTGCCAAATTATATCTTCATTTAAAAATAGTCTTTTTTTTAGGTCTTTCCTATCAATATCAGATTTGTAATGTGCCTACGTTGCAACCCTTTAGCAATGCAGGCCCTAATTTTAACTAATCTATACTAACTTCCAATAAAATTACAAGTGAAGATTATAGCATTAAGTGTATACTGTAAAAACCTTGCAGCTAAAAAAAAACCCAAAACTGCTTTTCTAATTCCTAGAATCAAATGTAAAAATCAGTGTGAAATAAACAATAATGTTTCACTAACCTAATGTTAATAACATTACATCATAGGCTTAGGTCATACAACAGCTGGCTTTTTTTCCCTGTTTTTCTCCGAAAAGCAGAAATACAGTATAAAAAAGGGATCTTGCATAATTATCAAACAACATTTTTGATGATGTAAGTATTAACAGAGGTTTGTTGCTTCAATTTGGACACAGAAGAAAACAATGCAGGAATTCATTCCTCAAATTGAAACAAAGACAACAAAGAAGTTTGTGTTTATAATAAAGGAACATGGAGGAGGGTCCGACTGTGCAAGAAGAATCTGCTTTAAAAAAAAAAAGAAGCAAAAATCCAGTTACCGCCACAGTGAGGAAATTGTTTCCCGGTAATATGTAATAATAACAAGCATAAAACAACAAATTGAATAAGGAAGTTTGGGAGCTATTGACTTTGCAGCAACTGCTTTTGCAGAAATCTTGTGGCAACAGTGGAAACATCAACATTAACATCAACGAAAACAGCACAGCCAGACTCAATGTTAGTCTCCTTCTACTGTTACTGACTGGAGTTTTGAGTGGGGTTTATTATGAAAAGGGTGGGATTGGACATTTCTAATTATATCTAATTGGACACACATGTTTTTAATTAAAACTTTTATCAGTCAGTTATTCAGTATTCACACATATAATGACTGCTTTAATTGATGTTTGACATTTTTTATGCAGACAACAAAAAATCTGCTGTTATAAATATGAACCAATTGTAACGTGACTACTAATATAACTCCACCCACTCCTTTTTACTGATAAAAGCCTTTATAATTTTTTTTAAATCTTTGACAGCACCTAACTTCCAGCTTTCACATCAACACACACAAAAACAACACTTGGTTCTGTTTCTGGGAGATCAGATGAGGTCATGTGGACCCAGCTTCTGTTTCTTTGAACCCAGCTAGATTTCTGTGTAGAATTAAAATATGGCTTCCTCCTTGCATAACATACTGTAGTTTTGGTTTACTTTTTTAGATGCAGCCTGTGGGCTGCATTTAGTAACAGTGGTTGTGCAAATAGCTGTAGTCATCACAGCTGGATAACACTTTCCTATGCCGAAATGTTGAGCTTTTGAATGTGGTCTATACTCACTTTGACCTTAGCCTACCTATTTAACAAAAATAGAAAAAACATGACTGTACATTTAAAACTGTCACACAGTATACACTTTTTTGAAGTTTTTAGAAATGTACATTGGTTGAGGATTTGTTTTTTGATAGAACTGTTTTCACAAAGGAGTGAGCTATACCTTATGAATTAAATTCTCTGAGTTTCATAAATAGCTTGCTCCAACTTAAGATGTACATGTTGAAGCTAAGAGCAGACTTGCTATGGTTCTGCCTCAAAACAAGTACCAAGAGAATGTTTTGCCTCCCTTTTGATAATTTTATATGCACATCTTATTAAGATGATGACTCAAACTCTGCAGTATTTGTTAGTTCACTCTCTAACATTGTGCTCTTTCTGCTTTTTCTCATAGTAGCTTCATCTGGTCTGTTCCTGTTTAGCTGTGACATCATCCTAGAGAGAAATATCAGCTGTGCTGCTGCCATCAACATCTTTGCTTATAGATGTTGGAGCTTGGCCTATTTTCCAGTGTAGTCTTGTTTTTCTGACTGTGACTGGCTGGATGTGCTCTCCTTCATCCTCTGACATGGGAGCTGGCTTGCAGCTTGTCTGCTGTGTGTTTACTTGATGGGGACTGTGGAGCTGGTTGACAGTTGCCTTTTGTATCTCTAGCCCCATTTATACTACCCTTTTGAAACCGTCCCGAGATCGGTAACTGAGATAACTGTTGAGTGTAAATGGTGTACCAAACACAACCAAACTGCGCTAAACTGGTACTTGCTCATCAGTAGGTTTCAGCGCTGTTTAGTTCTGACACGGTTCTCAGATAACAAAGAGCACATGAGCAGACTGCTTCATCTCCCATGCAGCCAGCCTTCGTAATCATGAAATTCACGAAATTCATGAAATACTAGCTTCCCTACTGTGGCAAATGATTTCCAGTGATGATTCCGGTTAGCAGTGTGATGAATCTAAACGTCTGTCGTTGTTTCCTGTGTCTGTAAGCCCTGATTAGACTATCGTTTGTCGTATCCACTTCCCAAACACCGACACTGTCAAGTAAATTCAGCAAAGTTTGCCTTCTTCGCCTGACTCTCCTCAAATTTCCTGAATATTACAGGCGCGGCCATGTTGATATGTTTGTTTACCTCTAGAGAGCAGTAGTACCGTAGATCGTCACTGGAAGGCGAGGAACCATGCTAGCGTGATGTGTAAACGGTCTTAAGGAACAAAGCTCAACACTGTTAACTGATCCACGTTCGGCACAGACTGGTTTTCAGAGGGTAGTGTAAATGCGGCTTCTGCTTCTTTTTTATGTCTGCTTCTGTCTCCTTGAACCCCAGTTGCCCTCGGCAGATGGCCGCTCACACTGAGCCTGGTTCTGCTGGGAGTTTTTCCTCTCCACTGTCACTACAAGCATGCTTGTTGTGAGGGATTGCCTTCGAGTTAATGAGTCAATGCAATCAGCTAGTTTTCCTTAGATAGAAAACTTTGAATCAATTTGACTGTATTTAACTCTTCTAATTTGATCTCTTAAAGTTGCAGAGAACCAGTGAACTCAGTTCGTCAGTGATCTTCATTGAAAAGGTCTCACCTATGTGCAGCAGATCTTAGTCCTCATTACCTGTCTGCCCGCTCTCTAACACTATGTCTCTTGCAAGTACCAACACTTTCAGAGATCACTCACATTCTCCTGGACCTCTGGGGTAGCCTGCAAAGCCCGCTTAATCAATCCCCTACAGATCCATGCTACCTGTCCTTCATCTCTCAAGTAAGCAAAGCATTCAGTCAACAGTTGTCATCAATCAGCTCCTTCCTGATCAGTCTGTATTCTCCCCTCTGACCAACCACTGGGTTGGGTTAAAATATTGCTGGATATATATATATATATATATTTTACAATTAAATATTCTAAAGACAGTTTGAGTAAGAGAAAATATAGTTTTCATTTAGTAACACATCATTGGAGAATTTCCAATGTGTCACTGTTTAAGTTTTCGCAGGGAGAACTTTGTAAAGGCATTCTGAGATCATAAATTACGCCATAAACTCACACTGATGGTTATAACCCTTATTTCATGGTTATATTACCCTTCCAAAAGTCATTGAAGTTGTGTATAACCACATGCCGCTCACCTGTTCTTTTATTCTTATTTAATAAATA